TTGCAATACGTTTAAGACAATGCAATCTTTGTGAACGAGAAGATGAAACATGAGTTGAAATCCACGTTACAAACGGAAGTGTTACTTCTTTTCATATCATATACTTAGTTATATTAATACTAACCTATGTTTCTAATTTAATTAGAATTATGGGTAAGCTCGGAGCACAACAAATTCAAGTACCATATCTAAAGGTTAAAACTCATTCATCCTAAAGTTACTAATTTGGGAAGTCAATTTATGACCATGATGTGTTTATTTTCTTTGTTATGTTTAGTGTAACAAATAGCTAGATTCGAGCATATGGTTATTATATCATTTTATGAATAAAAACCATCATTCATGTTGAAATTAGAAAAGATTGGATTGAGACAATAATATATACCTTTTACATATTATAAATCACATACATAATAAAGTTGTGTTTTTTTTTCAACAGTTCAAGAATCCATCACCTATAAAGGATGACACAATGAATAAGGTAAGATAGGAATGAGCAACGTATCTATAGGAACAATGAATTTAGGACCCATAATAACATTATTATTTTGCTTCAAAATTGTCTAGGACAAGTTTTTTATTATGAAAGTTTTAGTTTTGTTTTAATAGTTTTAGTTTTGATAGCTTTAGTCTTAGTAGTTACATTTTGTGTTAATAACTTTAGTTTTGATATATAATTTTTGTTGGGAATTTTCTGAACTATAATGGAATATTTTAACTTTTTCAGGTTTAAGTAAATTGTAAATATAAATAATATTTAAAAAACCAACATTTAACGTTTATTAATGCACTAAAAGACGTCTAAAGATGTAAAATATGGTCTAGTCTGAAGTGTTTTAACGTTTGTAAGTACACTAAAAGATATCAAATGTTTCCCATGTTTAAATAGAAATGGCATCAATTGGACGTCGGTCTATTGTCATACTCGTTGTTAAGAGACGTCAGATTCTAACATGATCGAGGTTCTTGGACATTTGTTTTCAACACTGACGTCAATTTGATGTCCTCGGCTAAGACGTTAGAGTTTTCTGATGTTAAAATTCAAAAATAACAGACATTAAAAGTCATTTATGTGACAATAGTGGAGTTATAGGAAAAAAGCAATATACACATAGAAAAAATCCTCTTTATACCCCTCTCAATCATGACTAACATTGTCTTTAACAATTACTCTTCTAAGCGACACTATATCCTCGAACACCATGCTCTCAAATACATGAATAATATTCATCCAAGAGTTTAATATTCTTGACCAGCTAAAGTTTGAAAAATGTTTTCCCACCAAGGGATATACCCACTTGTATCCCTCCCTTCGAGGTAGTTTCTCATCGACATGCTCCTTAGGAGGATCTCCTTATTCTTATATATCACCTTCATTCACCTCCAAAGCTCTTGACAATGATGCGTCAAAAGACATTGAGGTTTAGGTACTACCATTATCTTTTGCCCCTTCAAAACCTATGTTTGACCCACTATGCGACATACCTTTGAATAGTCGACTGTTGAAGTGCTTAACCTTTCTCTTAAGATATCAACAACAGAGCAATTCCTTAGAAAACTTGGTTTTCAATTGGGGCAAATGAGCCCTTTATTTATCGCAAAACTTCGCAACCCTTCACCTTCCCGCCTCTTCTTCTCAACCATTAGATCTTTCCAGAATTCAAAGGCTAAGGGATGTGACTCTTCACATACACAACCTCGCTTTGTTTTCTTTGCAACCTACCAAACCTACATCTTCCATGTCTAATCACATATGACATTTCATCATTACACCCTTTTCATCGTTGCACTTCTCAAGGGTAGGGGTTAGTATACCTGTCAGACAAGAACCAAAAATACAAATTTTCTTTGCATATAAGACAGATAACTACATAGTAGCAACATGAAGACTGGACTACTAACATATCAAGCCTAGGAGGCTATAGTGTACTGTATATGTCTAAAGACATATCAACACTTGCCTAGATGTTCTAAAACCTCAAGGTCTGATCATGAGCCACAGCGATATGGATGATTACATGTCAATTAGCTGATGCATTATGACGGCATGGCCGCCTATACACTAGCGAGATAGTTTCAGCATATGGGATGGTTACCGAAAGTGACAATTAAAGCATGATTAAGTAGATGGATTAATCAAAGACTAATCAAAGTCATTAGCTACATTAGTCAGACTCATCCATGTAAAGAACCTATAAACATAGTATAAATAACACGAAATACAAGATAAATTATTGCGTTCATTAATTACAATTTTTATTACTCGTTGATCCACTTGATTGACTTGAACGTCGAAGTGTCTTTTAAAAATAAAATCTATTACTCAACTTAAAGAGGACAAGTACCTTAAAGAAATCAAATATCCGTAAAATTGGAGACTTGAAATGTTTTTAAAGTCTTTACAATATGTAATAACATAATATAAAACACTTATCAAATTATAACTTATATGCAGAAATATTAATATGATATGAATTTTATTTTACTATAAATTTATTATATGTAAAATGTATTTAGTGTAGACGTGTATTCAAACTAATACTGGTTAATTTTCTCTTACGTTCTGGTGATGAATTCCAACGGGACTGTTTCAACAATCACTTGTCAATTTCGAACTGAGAATGAGAAATCAAATAAGGCACTCAGCTGCAGCTGACTATTTTCAGATTGATAATCGTTTTGCGACTCATTCTAATTCCATCTCACAAACAAAGATGGAAACTTTTCTCTTAATTTTTTTCGTAAAGTTTTCAACACTCCAGAACATTACAAAGAAAACGAGACGAAAAGTAAGAAAAGTCTGAAAAATATTACAGGGTGTCACCATGTTCTACAACAAGATCATGACAATTTAAAGCAATTGAATGCAATTTTCTTTCATGCCCTCCAATTCTCCTTCATCAAATATGTGTTTCTTTTTTGTCATCTTTACTAAAATTATTAGTTATATTAACTTTTTTTTTTCTTTCTATTTGTTTCATTTCACATCTTTTCAAACTATGGGGTTCAGCTAATTTCTCTTTCTTTCGTGGTCGTGGGTTTTGGCATTGGTCCCCATGCTTAACTTTTTTTTTTTGTTTTCTTTAATCACCACGAGATGCTAGTAGTTCCATGACCATTGGTAGGGTCTGAGGTGCAACATGATTGGGAATTTTTTATATTTGTTTGTCATGCACTCACTCCTTTGAATAAAAAAAAATACATCTCTTATACTCATGATTATTATGAAGTTCTTTTTAAAAAATGCCTTAAATTTCCGAGAAAAAAATATTACTCATCTAACATAATTTTATTTCAATACTAAATAAAAATATTAATATAAATGCAACTGAGAGAGACATAACACTCCACTAACAAACCTTAAAACCTAATTTGGATCGTTGAACAAAATTTTGTTTACTCTTTCCTTAGTTCTATTTTCACTCTTCTTTTAGTCTAAGTATAGTTTTTCTCAAATTATTATAAAAATTGTTTTATTCTTAAACTAAATTATGAAAGATTTACTACTATATAAAATTATATATTATCAAGTGTCGTTGGTAAAAATCTATCGACAAATTGTATTTACCAACGGACTTTCGATAGATTAAAAATCTTTTAGTAAAAGGATCATTAGTAAATTTTATAAATATATTAAAAAAAATTTCGATAATTACTAATAATCATAAATTTATCAATAATTACTAACAAATTTTACATGTTAATAACATTCATTGATTAGGTTTCTTTCCTTTCTTCTTTTTTTTCTTATATTTCTTCTGCTAGATATACATCTCATTCATATTCGATGGAGTGCAAACATTATTCCTAGTACTATCAAATTTGGAGAACAGATCTAGGCCGAAACTTGCATCAATGGCGTACATTTTAAGTATTCAAAATAAATATAGCTTTTGAACCAACATTTAGTATTGGTTTAGTGTGCTTAATAAATATTGAGGTTCATTTCTTTCTGAAAAATGTTGAAGCCACACAAGAAATTGGAGATTAGGATTTGTTGTCCAAGGTAAACTTTATATTATTTTTCCTGTATTTTATAACAAACTAATTGTTACTATAATATATTTAACCAATGAATTTGCCTTTTTCTTTACTTAAGTTGTGATGTAGGAAAAGAAGATGAAATCAAAGATGTTGAAAAAGATGACCAAGCTATACTAAATAGGGACTCAAATGCTGTTAGAGAAGCTAAAGGTTGTTAAAAACAAAAAAGAATCTGATATGTCAAGTCTTTAAAAACAATTTAAATATTATTATTCCTATTGACTATTGAACATAGAGACAAACATGGTAAATGTTGTGATATTGTTAATATCTTAAAAAAAATTATCATTTTGTTAATTTTACATTTTTTGTAGATTTTAGTTTAACAATAAAAATCATATAATTTTATGTAAAAAAATCTGTTTTAGTAATTTCCTTTTATAATATTAAATTTTTTTAATAATATACACAAGATTCTAAATTCAAAGTCTTTATAAAAAAGAATATATATATATTAATAGTTAATTTGTATTTGTAAGAAGATGATGTGTGGAAACGGATATGATAAACCTAGTTTATAGGGACGACAGGAAGCAACAGTCTAAATTTCCCACAAAAGGCAAGGCAAAATTACTAGACATGACCATGTCAGCGGATCTGCGTTAAGGATTCCCCACACATAGAATAAAGTGACCAACTACGTGTTTGAAGGACAAGCACAGTTCCAATCACATGCATTCTAGGCAGTCAAATTTTTCAAACACTTTTACTCTTTTTCGTCAATACCTAGTATTTTCTCGAGTCCAGACATTAACCATTGAATTTCAAACCCCAACCTTATAAAACTGGTCGTTAATCAAACCCTCTCCAATTCCTCTATCAACCACCATTTTTTAAACCAGAAACGCTAAGCACAAAGACAAAATCACACCTACAACATATACCTCCATACGTTCATTCACACAAACAAAAACAAAATAGTTTCTTTGCATATACCAAGGTAACTTGTCGAAGCCATGCAACATTTGCCGGCCAAGTTGTGCCGCAAACTGGCTCGTCCAGCATGCGATGTGTTCATAAACCATCGTGGCATCGACACCAAGAGGAACATCGCGGGGTTGCTATACGACAGTTTGACTAGGATGGAAGTGCGGTCGTTTTTGGACAGCATGAACATGAAACCTGGGGATAGGTTGTTCGATCACATCGACAGGGCCATTCTAGGTTGCAAAGTGGGTGTTACGGTGTTTTCGCCACGTTACTGTGAGTCGTATTTTTGTCTACATGAACTCGCTCTTCTCATGGAGTCAAAGAAGAGGGTTGTGCCCATCTTCTACGACGTTAAACCTTCGCAGCTTGTGGTCAAGGACAACGGAACTTGTCCTGCTAAACAGCTTCGGAGATTCTCTTTGGCACTCGAGGAAGCTAAATACACTGTTGGATTGACCTTTGATTCTTTCAAAGGGTACGTATTTCACGAACTAAAATGCCAAAAATAAACATCACCATAAAACTATAAACAATAATACTAAATTAAAAATACCATCTGTCAATGATGGCCAAAAAATTATCTTACACTATAATTAACAGTATCAATTTTGTTTTATTTTTCAGTAATTGTTAAATTGTTTTGGTTAATTAATGCAAAAATGTTCAATTTGATGCGTTTTCAGGGACTGGTCGGAGATACTGAGAGATGCTTCAGATGCAGTGATGATGAACTTACTGGAGGTAGAAGAAGAGCGAAAAAACATGAAGAGAAAACAGTGAATACTAATTTTTTTTTTTTATAGAATACTGAACATTATAATATTAATAAGTTCTTTTGTTTTTTCTTTGGCCTGTATGTGCTCTCAGAGGAGATCCATATACGTCCTCTAACATCAATCAATTTATGCCCTAAATTAATCAGCTTAATTGATTGGTTTAGGCTCCAACAATTTCCTTTGCCATAATCCATTTATTTTTAATTTTTTTTTACACATGCAGCAAGCAATAGGTTTAGTTTCCAATGATCAGTTTGCTTTTCAGGGTTCTTTTGTTGTATCCAATCCCTTAATTCGGACAATGTCAAGATTCAATTCAATAAATTGCAGTTTGTTACTCTCTTACCTCAATCTGTTTGTTTGATTTTCTGACTATGTACTCACACAAAGATATAAAATTCATGAGAACTGACATATATAATCTCTAGCTAATATTTGTATTTTTAATAAATATGCAAAATTATAAAATTAACACAAAAATTATGGAATGAAAAAGAAATACTAAGATGTATTATGTTCAATAAAACTCCAACACCAATAAAGAAGTAACAATAAATAGTACATGGAAGTTGTTTTGAGTTAACATTTCTCACTATAAATAACACGAAGTTTATTTAGTCATTGAACATAAGCCTCAAAATAAATTTAATTTAAGCAATATTCAAATTGTGTGAATAAATCATTAATATTCAAATATATACGTAACGAAGGTCAATTTACTCACATTATACAAAATCATTCAATTCCTGAGAAATATTAGGAATAAAATCTCTTTTAAATAATACATTTATTTATTATTGAACAATATATTTAATAGAAATGGTCAAATTTTGATGGTATGATTTCAGATATACTATATATGTACACATGATTTGTTTATATTTTATAAGTTTCAAAACTTTATAGGATTGATTAGATTTTATTAAGTTTGTTACATATACGTAATTGATTTTAAGGTATATAGACTTTTTAACATTATATTTTTAATTCTGTAAAAGTATTTTTTAATACTCACTTTTTATTCATTGAAATATATGTGTTTCACTAATTAATTTTGAAATGGATTCCTGATTAAATGAAAAATACGTTTTTAGTATTTTTTTTTATCCAATTTATATGACTCTTCAATTTATACGAAATCATAAAACCACTCCATTACGTTTAATGAATTGAAATATTGTTATAAAACCTCTTTAAGGTATCAGCATATCCAAATCCACACAGAACATTTGAGTAATAAAAATTATATTTATAATAAAAAATTGATTTAAATTATCAATATTGTTGAGACCAAGTGATAGCGATTTATGTTTTTTAATCAAGTGGGGTAGAGTTTCAACCCTAGTGAAGTTATTCTTAGTATGAAATAAATTATCTAAAGAGGAAGTATGAGTTGACTAAGATGTTAATCATTGTATCAACGAAGATAATTCGTATTAATATCGCGATTATTTTAATCGTTTAACATAAAAATATAGTATAAAAATCTTCCAAACTTTATATTTTGTTTATTCTATAAATAAAATAACTAAAATTTCATAAGAATGTGAGATTTTTTGTGCCTTATTTACAAGAAACCAAAAAGAGATGCTAAATTTGAGGAAAAAAATTACTTATAAAAATGTTAAATTATTGGAAGATAAAAGAAAAACAAGGTCAGAGATTTGTAGATATAAAACTGACACACCCAAGAGAGATAACAATATGATTAAAATTATATTAATTAATTACTCATATTTTTGTTTTAAGTATTTATTTTTCTTAATATATTTATATGTTGTGTATGTCCAAGAGAAGTCCCTAAAAATGAAAATCAAAGCATAAATAAAATGAAACAAAATTTTGTTAGTTTAATAAGGTTTGTGTTTTGTCAACAAAGAGCACTTGTGAGACCTAATATTACCGTCCGCACACAGCAAGGGGTTATTAATTTGGAATGAGAAGGTTACACTGCATATTCTGTGATATTTCTTAAACATTATTAAAAATGCAAAGTGGCTTTCTATTGGATAATAAGTTCTAAACGAGGAAGACGCGCTAATTAATTGGAAAATTAGGCTCATTCGCATATATTCACTAAACAAATCAACAACCATATCTATCTCAATTCTCAACTGATACAGATTAATAATATTAAATCAATTTGTTGTTGAACTCTATATAGTATAATTTTAAATTCTTTTGCGCAATTAATGATTACATACTCTGTATTTGTTGTGTTAGGAAAATTTTGTCGTGTTAAGGAGATCCTCTCTCACTGTTTAATCATAATACTTTAAAAATAAAATGTATTAAATTGTTAATTTTAAAGTTTAAAATTCGATTAAAATTCAATATATTTGAATAAAATACATGTTCAATATCTATTTTGGTATTCTTATTTGTTAGTTTTGTTTAAAGTGGTCCTCTTATTTTTAAATTTTTGAGATGTTCAAAGTGGTCACCTTTTTTGTATAAAAATTGTTCAATTTAGTCTTTTTTGCTGACGGCTGTCTACCTTAGTCAATATTTTAATGAGCTATCCAGTTTTAAAATACGTGGTCATGTGACGTGGCAATGTTAAAAGTTTTTATTTCACTTTTTATTTTATTTTATTTTATTTTAAATAGTTTCTCACCTTCTTCAAGCTAGACACATCCTCAGCTGCTACTCACACCCAAACCACCACTAGAGACCCCAAACCAAACCACCATCAAAAAATCACAAACTGCAACTATCACCTTCCAAACGAAAAAAATTCTAGAATCTCAAATCAAAATCCTATCCCAAATCGCAAGATCAAAACCTATAGAGAAGAATCAAGAATAAAAACCTGAAATAACAACACCCAAATCAAAACCCTAGTCCTAAATCGCAAGATCAAAACATGTAGAGAAAAATCAAGAATAGAAACCCCAAATAACAGAATCCAAATCAAAACTCTGGCCCCAAATCGCGAGATCAAAACCTATATAGAGAAAAATCAAGAACAAAACCCCCAAATAGCATAACCTAAATTCAACCCAGCCAATTATTCACGAGTTCGAACAAAGATAAAGGAGAAGAAGAAAACCCAACTAAACTCACAAGGACACTCCAAGGCTAGGTCTATCCGAGAACTAAAAAACAGAGAGGGGAAGAAGTTCCTAATTAGAGTTTCATGATAGTAAATTGGGGTTTAATGAAGGTAAAGTAAATTTAATTATAATAAAGAAGGTTTAATTAAGGTGAAGGACTTTTAACATTGTCATGTCACTTTTGATGTTGCCATTATTTTAAAACTGGACAACTCATTGAATATTGGTTAACGTGGACATTACGTCATTAGGGTTTTAAACGCCGTTAATATAAAAGATCAAATTGAACCATTTTTACAAAATATAGAACCACTTTAAACAATTCAAAAATAGAAGAATTACCTTGAACAAAACTAACAAATAAGATGATCAAAATAGATATTAAAACTAAAATACATAAGATAAAATAAGGAGAAAAAAAATCATATATGAACACAAACTATACTAACGATCAAGAGATAAGAAGAGAAAAAAAATATATTTTAATTTCATGTTTTATATTGTTTATTGACATTAAATAGTGTTTTTTAAAAAAATAATTTAATTAAATATTAAAAAATATTGTATATTGAATAAGAAATAAAAAACTGTCAATAAATAATTTATCCGTAAATTTTATTGATAAGAGTAATGATATGATACACACTTTTACACTCATTTAACATTTAATATATTGTATAAAAATGAAATAGTTATAAGAGAATAAATTTTTTTGTATTCATTAAAAGAAAAAAAAGTAAAAGAAAAAATATTAAATGAACATAAAAAGTTTATGTGTATCAAAATATCTTTATCTATTAAAAATTTATAAAGTCGTGACTATGATAACAAAACCGTTGATAAATATTTACTAGTAAAAAAATAGAATCCAAACAAAAAAAGTGTACAAAATATTATGGCATTTATTCTCACAGACATGGGATACTACTATCCTTACAAGATTTTAAATGTTTTGCACCATGAAAAGAGAATAATTGTTCCTCTTATATATCTAAACATTTCTTAATGATTCTTTAATTGTAATTGTATATTAATTAACATTAATTTTTTTATGAACACATCTAATAATTATTAAAAATTAAGCACTTATTTAATTATGTTAATTATTAACAGAATTTAAATAAAACTAATAATATTATAATTATCAATTATAATTTTTTATAATAAAAATAAAATATACTAATATTTATTTTAACATATATTAAGTTTATAGTAACTTCTTTTAAGGATAAATATGGAAAATAGATTTTAAAAAATTATTATTTATTTACTAAAAGATCTGTAACTTTAAAAATGAGCTAGTAGCATTCATATAGAATGCTAAAATGTAAAGATTGGTCTATATCAAATTTTAAAATAAAATTCAATTTAACTCAGTGTGGATATATGGTGCTTCACAAATTGCAACCATTTTAACAACGCTATATAAATAATTTATGTATTAAATAAGTTTTTGAATCCTAATTTTTTAAAATATTTTTACTAATTAATGTTTAATAAATATGTTAATTTTATTTTTATAATAATTATTTTTTAAGTAAAGATTTTGATGTCCCAATTTCAATAATATTCTGTATTATGAAAAATTAATGCAAAAAATAAGAATTATCCTTTAATGTGCTTTTCAGTTTCAAACTGCCAGTTTCATAAACTCTTGATTAAATTCTTTGATAGTATACACGGTAGAAAATCATATTTAATGATCCATAGAGCACATGTGAAATTTATAGCACTTTGTCATCATTAGAGTAATTAAATATATATATATATATATATATATATATATATATATAT